AACTAAGTGAAGACGCTGCCAGACTCCCCCAACATCTTGACCGCAACGCATACCTAGAAGGGTGTTAAATGGGTATGGACATGGTTTTGGGTACTTATTTACCTATACGTTATGCCGGTCAATAAGCCGCTTGGAATATATTACTATAAAATTTGTAAGCCGCTTGCCAAAAGAAAATAGAAATATTTTGTGGATGCTAGTCAACTTATGCGAAGCGCTGTCCGCAGCAGTGAAGAAACTTTTTTCTGCCTCATGATTTATATATAGTCTAGATATATGATTCAATGTGTGTGTGTGTGTGTGTGTCTGTGTATCTGATGTGCAGCTGGGGCCAAAGTTGCGTATACGTAACGTCGCGTTGACACGTCTTGTGGTCAGGCAAAAGATAATAACAGCCCTGAACTGGAGCTGGAGCAGAAGCAGGAGTTGCAAGCGCCGGCCTAGTTTTTCCACAACATGCGAGTACTCATAAGTCGACACTCAGTTGTATTCAAAGTGAGGCATGTGAATGCTGTGAATGTTCTCACAGCTATCACAGTTTTTCGACGGCGCGTGGTTTTTGCTGATTTTTCACACTTGTTCGAGCCCTCGGCCAGCTGTTGTCCAGCGCCCTTGTCAGCCAGCTGGCACGCCCCTTGCTTCGCTTATTTTCATTTTTTTATTAACTTTTTGTCCATTTTGGTCACGTTTGATAAGCTGCAAGCAAATAATTCATGAATGGGCCACGCGCATTTCCCTGTGGCCAGCTGTTGCGCCTGCTAATGCTGCCGAGCGTTGATTTTTTTAAATATGATTTGAATGAGTTTATAAGTTTTGTTTATTTGCTTAAGCAGCAGCCAAGTGATGTCGCATTTCCCTTACTCAGCCTCCCCCTTCCCCCCTATTCCACAACAATTGGCTTACGGGGTTGATTCAATACAATTTGATTGATGTCTTTGCTCGCCAGCGTTTGTAGACAGTCATTAGCTGCGCATTCTCAACTGACGTTGTCTGTGTTCTATTCCAGCCCAGCCCAACCCAGCCCAACCCAGCCACGCCCCTGCCCCCTGACAGTGAGTGGCGCTGACAGCTTGCCAAATTGTCTGCTAAAATTTTAACTCACACACTAACTGATATATTACTAAAAAGACGCCGCTGAGGTCGTCACAGCACATCATTAACACCTACATACGTAGAATTCAGTCTGACAGTAATACTTACATTATTTTTTTTAAACTAAACCTTTTTAATTTAGATATACTTACTTAACTTAATAATAGCTAACTTAAAGAATATTTCAATATCTAGTTTCTTTTCAAAAGTTCTTAAGATTTTTTAAATTAAGCCCTAAAATAAGGAAAGTTTTGCATGTGCAAGCTTTTAATACATTAGAAGAATAGAATAAAAGAAGTTAAACTAAATTTAAAAAAAAAATCAAATTTTCAATGAACAGGAAATAAAAGCAGAAAAATAAAAAGAAAGCCTTTTCTACACATTCAAATTTAAGTAAATCGAAAAAAACTTAAGAATTATTTGGTATTTGGGAATTCAAGTGTTGTGCTTATCAAGGATTGCCTTAAGTGAGGGCGTACCCTACACATATATGATATACATTTAATTAAAAAAAATTGTATCATACTTGGCTTAGACTAAAAGACATCTGCTCTACAGCCTGGCTCTTAAGTCCGAAGTTTAATATAAATTGAATGTTTCATTCAAATGTATACTTATATACACATATGTTAATATATTTAATTATGTTTGCATACAAATGTCGATAGCTATTTATAAGGCTGTGTGTATTTTATTTCAAGTTCGCTGAAGCTAATTTTTGGCACTTGAAAGCAAGCCTTATGAAGGCCATATACCATGTCACAGACTTTTACACGAGGCTGGGCGTTTGATAAACTGTGCACTCAATTCCAGGCCAGTTTAGCTAGGAGCAAGACAAACTGAGAGAGAAAGAGAGAGAGAGGGAGAGAGAGGGGGAGAGCGCAAAAGAAATAAAGTTAAGTCTCTGCCACATGCGGTCGCGGTCATATTTGGCTTATTATAAATGACTGAATGTGAACTGCCTGTCATGTTTTATCTTTATTTTCGTGCATTTCTGGACACATTTCACTGGGAGTACTAGGCGGCGCAGAAGGATAGAAGGGGTGGGGGTAGGAGAGGAGTGTTGCTGCCGGCGTGTCTGCACATTTTCCATTTTTCGATGTTGGTTTTTTTTTTTTGTTTTCTTGCCCTGGCACACAATGTGATGATAATGGCGCTTGCAGGCCGACTGACGTTTCTAACAAAGTGAGTCGCATTAAGGATAATCGAGGCAACTAAAAGCAAAGCCAACAACAACAACAACAACAACATGAAACAAAGCAGAGACAGCGACAGCGACAGCGACTGCTGATGGGGCCCGATTTGCGCGTCATTATCCTTGCAGGCAGCAGCGTGTCTGCTGTGTGTGTGTATGTGTGAGTGTGAGTCCTATGGCCGCCAGGCCTGAATGTCCATCAGGAGTGAAGACGCTGCAACGCCCGTTGTCCTTGCCGCATCCTGTGCCTGACATTTTCGTCGTCATCGTTCGGCGTTACGAATGATTTATGGCCAACAGCTCGCCCGCAACAAGAACTCAAGAGCAGCCCAAACCAAGCAAACCACCCAAACCACCCGCCACCGCACCACCGCACTACTTGCCCCGCTGACATTGTGAAAATAGCTCTGCAATTGACAATTGTCCTCGGCCAGGTCTTTGAGTTCTGGCCAGGACTACCCAACTCGATGGCTATACAAATATTTATTAAGCAAATTAAAGGCGCGCTGGCAAATCCCACGAAACAAATGACTTGAGATTTTGTAGGGCATCTATCCACCTTCTGGATGATCTGGCACTTTCCCTTTACCATTTGCCATTTACCATTGGCCAGTCGAATTAAGCGCTCTAACGCGCCGCTCGTCATTAGTCAATGTTTTAAGCCGAATTTCAACCATGGCTAAGAAACACTTGGCTCTTGCTTAACACAGGTCCAGTTGTGTGCGTGTCTCGTTCTCTTGTTCTCGTTTTGGTTTTCCTGGCCGCAAAATTATCAAAATTAAATGGAATACCTCACGTGCCATATGCAATGTGCCAGCTGCTGCTGTCCTCAGCCGTCTGTCTCGGCTGCCATGTTGCCAAAAAAAAGAAAGAAAAAAAGGGAAAAAAATAAAAAAAATTATAAACATCGCCGCTTATACGCACTCGAGAGGAGGGAGCGGGACAGCAGTAGTGAGACTTGCACTCATTAAATAATTAAAGTTTTTTTTCCCTCTCCTTTCAGTTTTTGGTAATTCTTTTTGGTCTTAAATCACACCACTTTAAGCTGTGGCCTCTATAAATGGAACGTCTGCACGTACCACACATATGTCCCTTATTTTCACATTTCCTTAGCCTTTCCCTCAGCTTATTGTTAAAACTTTTGACAGAGCGCATTTCTTATGACAGCCAAACAATTGAATTGTCCAAGTAAACTCAATTGTTCTTCAGGCTCCAATGAAGAGCTCTAGCAGCTGCAAGGGGCGACGTCAAATGTATATACGACACATTATAGAATATATTTTCTTCCTTAAGATACATTCTGTATAATTAATATGAACTGTTCGGTTCAAATAAAATATTTCATTTAACTTTGTCATATTTTATACATTTCAAGAAAATATTTGAATAAATTATTTTTCGTGCTGAATTAAATCATTATTGAGACCTGAGCACCTGAGAGATTTTATTCGAAAGACACACACTTTAGCTTATTATTTTGTGGAGAGTGAAGACTCCGAATTGTAGTTTCACATCACGCTACAATTTCGTTCTGGTTCTAGGCGTAGTATCTATAATTGAGTCGCAACTAAACATATTAACTGTGTCCAGTTGATTCAGACCGAGCTTAGCTCAGAGCCCAACCAGCTGCCGAGTTGTGCAAACGATTTCCACAATGTCGGTAACACATTTAGGCAAAATTCTGCTGATCGCTGCGCTCCTCATGGTCGACAGTCAAGCTCAAAAGGACAGTGGAACAAGGCGTGAATTTGGTAACCAAACTCAATTAATCCCAGCTCTTGTAATCTCAAATTCTTCTTAGTGGCCTGGCCAGCGCGAGTGACTCAGAACGTGAAGACTGGCGTACCCGATGCAAATGGTTGCTTCAAGAAGACGATCACAACATGCCTAGTGCAACCGTTGAGAACCTAGCGCCGCAAAGTAGACACTAAAACGTTGTATGATAGCAATTTGTGAACCGATTTTCTACGTCTTGTATTATTTGCCAGTTTGTTTGATAAATAAATGGCAACGCCATCTAGCGGACAGTTGGCGCACTTAGCGTTCATGCAGCAATTGGGAAAATTTTCATTTTTCGGAAAATTAGGCCCTCCTACGGGGATGAGCCACGTTCACGTGTTGTCAGAGTAGAAATGAAGGAGTCAAGAGTTTCTTGTTATTTAAATTCCGTTCTGTTATTGTCAGCATTTTCTTGCTTAACTAAAGAGTGCTTGTAATAAATAGCTTAAAATAATATAAAGCTAGGAAGAATTCCCTTTTCCCTTCGCAAATAATTGCAATCTCAGTGCCATAGCAACGAGCTCTCAACCATGCACAGAAGCATTTAATACACACACACGCACACAAACACACATATTGATTTAAGTATTTGCGTATATTTGTACTTTAATTAAGTAAAAGCTGATCGAGTCGATCCAGTCTCTGAAGATCTTACCTGTACTGCATCTTTAGGTTTATATAATGCGCCTCGGATTGTGCTGCAGCAAATTGTTTAGTGCAAGAGATTAAATTATTAGTGTGGAGAATCTGAAATTGTTTAACAGCAAAAATAAAAACACAAAATTTGGTTCTGGTTTCTTCCTCGTCGGAAACTCTAACAAACAGCTAATGAGCGTACGATCGAGGCGTGAAATTTCAAATTAAGTCACAAGTTCTTGTGGCTGTCGCATTCGACGCAAAAACAACTGGACAAATATTTACAAAGACAAAACAGCATTTCGACTGTGCCCAGTCGATTGAGCTATTTCTTGGCTCAGAACCCAGCCAGCTGCCGAATTGTGCAAACCAACAAATTTCAGAATGTCAAGAGCTCGTCTAGCCAAAATGCTGCTGATCGTCGCGCTGCTAATTGTCGGCGGCCAAGCGAGACCCGGGCGTGGACGGAAGCGCGCCTTTGGTAAGGGATTCTAATCGAAACTAAGCCCACAGCTTAATCTCTCGCTCTTGCTCCGCACAGGCGTGGGTCTGCTCGGCGGCGCCTTGGCGGGCGCTGTCATTGGCAATGCTGTGGCCAAGGCGCCGGGCTCGGCGAACGCGGCTGCGCCAGCGCCAGCCCCAGCGCCAGTGGCCCAGGTGGTGGAGACGGGCGTGCCCGATGCCAATGGCTGCTATAGACAGACGATCAAGGAGCCCGTTCCTGGCAATGGCAAACTGTACACAGAAACGGTTCATCTAGTCTGTCCCCACAATACAGCGCCAGCTAATCCGCAGCCAGCGATGGTGGTGCTACCAGTCGCCCAGGCTGCTTCGGCAGCACATCCAGTGCTGGCTGCACCGGCGCCAGTTAGCCCAGCTGTGGTGGCAGCTGTGGCACCTGTGGCACCTGCTGTTGTTTACAATCACACGTCAGCGCTGAACTCGACGCATTTGAATGCCACTGTCACGGTGCCAGCTGCAGCTCCGGCTTCAGCTCCCGCTATGGTTCCTGTTCCGGCTGCAGCTCCTGCTCCGCAGTCTTCGTTAACTGTAGTGTACGCGGCTCCGCCGCAGCAGCAGCATCCGCCGCCTGCACAGCCCGGAACTGCGCACGTGATTCTGCTGTCGAAAACAGTAAAGAAGCAGAAATCTGCGGCTGGCTCCATAAATATATCGCAGGGTCTACTGATTCTGGTCGTTTTGTACTGTTTAATAAGCAAATAAGTTAAAATTTTTAAACGCTGTTTCTTCTAAAACAAACTATGTGGAGGTAGCTAAAACCAGTTTCGACAATAAAGCATATGCTATTCTTTAAGTTTTTGCAGCAGCTTTCCTGATATTTGCTATCTATACATACCAATTTTGATGTATCTTACAGAAATCGTTCAAAGAATGTTTATTGCATGCAGCTTTTAAAATTGGCGCACAGACAACTTCACTTGTGTTGAAAGTGTTGAATCGCAGCCAACTTACTGCTTGCCCTCAAATTTGCGCGCAGCTAACTTAACTTAAGGCACAACTGTGTGCGTTATGTAAGCTGGCCCACTATTTAATTAATTGAGATGTAGCTGGCGCCAGCTAAATGTAGCAAATTAGTGGCGCCACCTATTAACATATCTAAATATTAAAGGGGGAACTCAAAGGGCACTGTTAATCTAACTTAACTATGTAAAATAAAAGTTATGACGTTTGGTCACACTGTCTTGCAGCCGGCGTCGTTTTATTGTTTTCGTTGTGAAATTCCCGCAAATAAAATCAAAGAATAAATAAAATTAAAAATGAGCACTTGGAATCCGGAATACGATGTGGAGCTAACCGACTCCGAGGATGAGATTGCAATGAAACGCGACTTTCACGGACGCGAGGCAATACTCTTTGTTGTGGATGCCAATCTAGAGGTGGGCGAAAATTCCAAATTATTATAAATATTATTAATAAGCAATATAAATGGGCAGACAGAACGCCTGATGGATGCGCTGAAGCTAATACGCGGCGCCTTCATCTCGGGCATGCTGGTAAATGGCAAGGATCTGATGGGCCTGGTGTTTGCCAACACCAAACATAGTCCACCGCCGCAGGAGCTGCAATGCCTGGAGAATATTGTGGTGCCGGCAAACTGTGCCGTCTTCCTGCCGCTGCGACAGCTCACAAAGGCCATAGTGGAACACTATCTGGAATTTATGGCCAGCGCAGAGGAGCTGTTCGCCAGCGAATATGGCCTGGCGGAGCCAGATGGACGCGGCAGCTTTGCCTATATGATACGCCTCTGCATTGAGCTGCTGGAGAAGTGTGGCAAGAAGCTAAACAATGCCAAGATTGTGTACCTTACGGACGTCGAGGAGCCGCATCCGTCATCCAGCCGCGAGTTTCAAGCGGCGCTGCAAAAGGCCAGCGATCTAGAGGGCAAGGAGTTCGAGTTCCAGGTGGTGCCCATGACCGATGACTTCAACTATGACCCCTTCTACAAGGAGTTCATAACGCTGTCGAGAGGTAAGCAGCCCAAGCCTGGCCACAGGATGTGCGACATCTGTTCCCCTTGCTGGCGTGCAGTTGTAGCCAAAAAGGTTTTAAGATCTCGCAGAGCAAACTAAGCAAATGTTTCACTCGCAACCAATCGCAGTTGTATTGGGCTGCGCTTTTGTATTTGCTGACACTATTCATATACATATACATATATTTTGATAAGGAAATTAATTGATTGATGTTCAAGAGACTATTTAACTGAACTGCCAATATTATTTCTAGCCATTGAAATAGATTCGTTTCGCGTGCCCGATGCGCAGCTGCAGCGCGAGATTCTAGAAGATCGCAAACTCAGACAGGACTTCCTGCGCCGCTGCCTGGGCCACTTCACACTCTCGCTTGGTCCCAATGTGTCCATATCGGCGCAGTACTACAACTACTTTTATCGACACGTCTATCCAAAAAAGGTGCACATCATGCGGCGCGACAACAGCGTCGTGCAGAAGCGCCGTCAGATTATTGTGCGGCAGGAGGACAAGGACACGGAACAGATAACGCACGAGTATCAAATCAAGATGACGGGCGGCTGGTACGAATGCAAAGTGGGCGGTGAAGTTCTTCGTGTGACCACGGAACAATTAAATCGTGTACGCAATCTGCATCCGCCTGGCATGATGCTTCTAGGCTTCAAGCATCGATCCGCGCTGCCAGATGTTATCTACAGCAAGCCCTGCAACTTTATGTATCCGGATGACCAGAACATAATTGGCTCCAAGCGGCTGTTTCGCGCGCTGTGGCAGCGTTGCTTGGAGCGCGAAAAGATCGCCATTTGCCTGTTTCTGTGCAAGCGCAAGTCTGTGCCGCGCTATGTGGCGCTGGTGCCTGTGGAGGCCGCCCAGCCGGATGACAAAAACTATCGCTCGCTGCTATCGGGAGATGGCTTCAAGATTGTCTACTTGCCGGAGTCCAAGCATATACGTCGGATAGATTTGAGCGACTGGAACAAAATTGACAATACCGCAACGGACGAGGGCGTCGATTTCTTTCAAAAGGTCATCAGGAAACTGAGCGTCGACTACCAGCCCAATCTCATCAACGATCCCAATCTGGAGGTGCTGCAGGCCAATCTGCTTGCGCTCGCCTTAAACTTTAAAACCGAACAGGACGGTCTTACCCAGCTGCCCGATCCAGCGTTGCAAAACAAGCGCATCGAAAAGTTTTTGCCCACCTATGAGACGATCTTTGAACCCGAAATTGAACCGGCCAAAAAGCGTACAGCCAAGCCCAGTTCCGACGAGGGCAGTGCGCCAAAAATGCCAAAAATTGAAGAGTCGCAACTAAGCAGCTACGAATTTGTGGAAAGGCTAATCAAGGATAAGCTTCTGGGCTCCTGCACTGCCAACCAGCTCCGCCTCATACTCGATCAACACTTTGACGTCAAGCCAGCCAAATCTGCAACCAAGGCTGTGCTCATAGAACGCATCGAAACGCTGAGCGCTTAAACTGCTTTGTTGTAGACATTCGTCGTTAGTTGTTAAACTGAAATATGCTGAATGTTAATTAGACTAAGTGTTGTTAGATTGCAACAGGATCTGGATATCAGTGAATGAATTGTTATAAACTTAAATTTGTCAACCTGTGTCATAAGAGAAAAAGAGATAAGGAAAATGCGAGACTAGCCTATATATCCCGGATCAAGTGTATATATATATATAGTATTTGTATGGAAAATTACAAATTGTTAACTAATAATTATTTGTATGCTTTATATTATTTTTTCCAAGAAAACCTAATGTATATAATTAATTTCAAAACAGGTTTTTGCTTAATGTTTCTTATTTTTGTAAAATACTTTTAATTAAGATGGATTCTAGTCCACGTAGAGAGTCTTGAGTTGGATTATTTTCGTTGCCGGGCATAGTTTAATTCTTCAGTCAGTGCTAACTACATAATTTGACTCTTAACCCGAATAACACCGAATGAGATGTCCTTATGCAATGAAAAAGCGCAACTTTTCGGCGACTTTTGGACCAAAAAACTTTGCACTCGCCTTTGTCCAATTCATGAAACAAGCGCCAAATGGTGGAACGTTGGCGGTGGTTGTTGTGTTCCTCGAGTGCAAAATGAGTTAAAAAATTATAAAATGTGGGCAAAATGAGTGTCAGGTGTCGCAGGGGGCGGGAGGGGGTTGCGTTGCACACGCACTGCCAAACAGTACCCAGCAAATGGCAAAAAGTTGCAGCACGGAAGTTGCCGTTGGCTTTGGCCAACTTCAAGATGGCCAACATGAATGTGGCCAGCACTCGCCCGCCTTTTACTTTCTTGGCACTTTATTTTAATTTCTGCGGCGCCGCTGCTCGCTCCAAAGTTACTTTCTTCAGCTTTTTGCGTTCTGCTGCCACTTTTCTATGCTGCCCACAGTTAACTTCTAGTTAAGTGGAAATTACTTTAGCATGCGGTTTTATGATACCCATTAAAAAACAAGATGCCAGATCTACCATTTTGCAAAAGCATATACTATTTTGGCAAAGGTAATCTAGTTTTGTTTGCTAGTCTGGGCAACCTTAGAGATTGTGTAGACCGGAGACAGATATAGAAAGCAGTCTCAAAAATAAGTACAGACCTTCTCAGAGAGTCTACCTACAGCTTGTTTAGATATGAATGAAAAATGATTTACACCAAGCTCTATTATATCCTTCCTCATCCTCCCTTCCTACTAACTTTATTTGGTTGTCATTATGTTTACTAAAATAAAAATTTGGTTGTTCTGTGGGTCGGTTCTGCGACCAATTACTTGGTTTATACGTGCATGTCTTTTAGGATATTGCCAGCCTGCTGATAAAGCTTACTTTCAGTCAGATCGGGATGCGCGTCGAGATATTTCTTAAGCTTGCTCGATTGCTTTTGCAACTGTAAATTGCTCTCGTCCAGCAGCAGTTTGTATCCCCGTATGTGTGTTATATGCTCCAGATTCCGATGGCCTGATGACGATTTCGAGATCGATTTCTTCAGGCGATTCTCCTCGGTCTTGATCTGATGCAAGTGAAACTCTTGACGACTCAGCAAGAAGAGCAGTGTATTGACAAGCCCTTTCAAGTAATGATCGAAGTGATCAGCCATGTCGTTTTACAAATTACTTTTCTATTTTTTATATTTTAGTTCCCTACGGTTGAAATGATGTTTGTATAATGAATGGCAGGCGTGCGGCTCACAGCCCGACAGAAAATGTGACAGAAGAGGCAACGCTAGAGTTCAAATACAATTTGTAGTTTGCGTAAATTGCCGTAAAAAAAATGAAAATATATATTTCAGCAAAATCCAAAAACTAAAACGAACTTTTGGCCAACTGCAGCAAAAATAAAGTTAAACCATAATCAAGGTAACAAACAGCTAAATGACATGGCCACAAATGCACAACGATAAAACTACGAACAGTCAAGTCCGACGTGCAACGTGAACTGCATTGAGCTATAGCTGGCATTGCAACGAGCGAAGTTGCAAGTCCAAACCGACTTTTCCAACTTTGTTTTCACCATGTTCAGTTGAATGACAAGAAGAAGAAGTAGAAGTTGGCACATTTGCGATTATTTCCAATCAAGTTCTAAGCATGCGAGTAAGTCGAAACAGCTACTGCAATTGGAAATCGCTGATTGCATATAAGAATAAAAGTCGATGTTGAATTATTAATTGCAAAAAGGTATTTTTTCTAAAAAAACCAAATTCAATAATAAAAGTATGGTATGTAATTTGTCCCTTATAAATATATGTCTTAATTATTTTACATTATTATAATATTTAAATATATTCCAATTGCTCTTTAGCACTTAACATTAGTAATATGTTGAGCTCGTATCATATATTTTTTAAAATTGATTATTTAAGACTTTCTATTTTTTAAAAACTATCATTATATCATATGTATCTACGATATAGTGCAAAAATTTCCCAAGAGCAGACAATTAAGAACACTTCGTTTTCGATACACGAAATGGTGCTTGTTTGATTTGTCTTTGGGTTAATGCTGAATAGAATTTCGAATGGGAATGGGCGTGTGCAATAATTATTTCAATTAACACATTTGCTTTGCTCACACACATGTCATGCCAGTGTGTTTGGACTTTGTTGCGGCTGTTTAAATAAATGCAATCCTTTCACAAATTATTTTAACGACAGTTTTAATTGCTGGGTGGTGTGGCATGCCCCAAAGAGTTTGCCACCTTTGCCGCGAAAAACAGCATGGCGCGCAAAACTTAAAGCTACAAAAGTTAAATAAATACAAGAAACAAACACAAAAGCCACAAAACATACAATAAGTTTAGCTATAATCCCAAATATATGTTTGTATGTGTATGTGTGTGTGTGTGTGAGAGCGTTTCAATTGGGTCAAGCGGAAGTGGCGCTAAAATTCATTTCCGCTTTAGTCACACATGTGGCAAAGTTTCTGATAGTAAACGGCAGTAGATGGAAGCGTGCGTGGAGTGTCAATAAAAATATTCACATAAATAAGGAAAGAAATGAGAAAAAAAAACGAGAAAATAAAACAATATTCGCCTCACAGACATAAATAATAATTAATTCGTTTCTATGGTATTTAGTTAACGTAATCGTAATCAAATTATGAATTAATGATTATTATTAATTCGATATTCCATTAAAAGGTAAGTTTTGTATAATAATAGGCTCTCAATATATATATTTTTAATTGGTTTTAAAACGCTAGTCTTAAACCGTTTCACTAAAATGCATAATTAAGACTTCTCTAATTGTCTCAGACGCATATGGGTTATTATTTTGTAAATTCTAAAGCAGAGTCAAATAGATTTTGCCATTAATCATCATTTTATTTATCTTTCAAATTTAGTTTGGCATTAATTCCAATGAAAATAACTATGCAAGCTCTTAGGCTGTTTCCACAGTGTTGCCTTAGATAATAATTTTATGTCAATTAATTACAATTACCCCGTAGCTGGCTAACAATTATGCAACTTTGTCAATTGAACAGGTAAGGCAGAGGCAAAACTACATGCAGCTGCCCGAAGACAGCAGGCAGAAGTGTGCGTGAGTCTGTGTGTGTGTGTGTGTGTAATGTAGTTGACTTCTGCATTTGCAGGGCGTACTTCAGTGCATGCTTCCGTAAATGTAACAAAAGGCTATATATTTGCCAGGAGCCAATAGTCAAGGGTATTTGCCGAGCAGACTCGCAATTGAAAGCCTTCCTCAGTCAAACTGTGCACATTAAAATGTAGAAAATTTAAATTTAATCAACTTGCTGGAACCCTGTGGCGTATGCGTAATAAATGTTGCCATAGCCATAAATGTAATACTGCCTCAAAACACAAACAACGTGGAACTCAGCTGAATCAACTGTCCACAATGCAAACAAACAAAAGTGACAACAAAAGATTTGTCAAGTACCCTCAAGAGGGTGCGTGTGAGTGTGTCCGTAAATTGGTCACTAAACTACAAACAAGCTAACAAGAGTCAAAGCTGAAGTATATAGTTAAATAATTCTCTCTAAATTGGCCTAAACTTAAGTTAATTCTCTTATTTATGACAAATATTTGCAAAACATACTTTAAACGTGACAGCGCCTAATTTGTTTTGAGCTTAAATTTTAACTGAGTTCCAATTTGGCTTGCCTTTAATATTTTTATTTATTTAAATGTTGGCGTAAAATAAAAAAATCCAATTGCGTCGCTTTTGAGCTGCTTTTCGATTACGAAGACATTGAAAAAATTCATTTTCAGCTTAAATATGCCATACAAATACAAATGCAGTGCATAAGCTGCCTATAGACACCTCAGATTAGATGCGTATTAAGCACGCACAAGCATAAAAGCTTACAGCACGGCTTAGGTTGCGACGAAAGAAACGTTGCCTACTTCTTGGCGCAAAAGTAAGAGCCATATTTAAGGCATGTAAGAAATTTAAAAAGACGATTGAAAGTGTTTAAGAAATTGAATCAAACGTGTTTAAATGCTGGCAACTTAAGCAATATTTAAATTTTAATATATTTCCTTGGCATTCACGAATTTGATGTGCAGCTCTGAAGTACGAGCTTGGGATAAAAATGCTGTGAATTAGAAATATGTAAATATAACTAGCCCGGCCTTGCCCGTGGAACGTTTGGGCTACAAATTTTAGATATTTCCTTTTCACTACCTACACGCCCTTAAACTCCACTTCTATTTGAAAATATGTTTAAGGTGCATCGAATAAAGAATCAAATGTTGAAATCAGAGGTATCCGCTCTTGTAAATTTTCACCAAAAATGTTTGAATCGCACATTTTACCGAGGTAGCTTCTCTTTGGCGAAAAATGTTAAACACATCTCAAAGGAATGCATGAATGCAAATGATCTTTGAAAATAAGTTTGAGGCTGATCAGATGGTAAACAAAAATATTTTATACAGCCGTTTTTCGCTAATTAAACGCTGTTGTAGAAGGAAAAGTAAGATTGAAGCAAGTCTGACAAAACTTTGACCCCCATTTTTCCTGATGAGGAATACATTTTGGAAAATTTGTACAAAGATCTTTGAAATTGAGCTTGAGACCAATCAGACGGTAAACACAAAAATGTCATACAAACGTTTTTCTCGATTATTCGATACTTGCGGGTGGATCTTCCCGAAACTCCTTTTCAACGCGCACCTTCATCACATAAAGTAGATTTAGTAAAAATTTCAGACACCTGGCTCTTAAGGTGTGGACTGTGAGTTGATCAGCAATGAGACAGTCAGTCAGTCAGGACAATCAGTTTTATATATAGAGATTATTGAACTATATTTTCTTGAGAGTAGGCTCGGCATGTGATTTATCTTTATAAGCTGTCGATTGGGTAATACAGGCTTACCGGAAATTTTGTCAGCTGCTGATGCTGCTGCTGTATCATCTGCGTTTACACAGATCCTAATTTGTGCGGTTGGAGCAAAAAACAGTCCGCAACCGCACCACCCCAACCCACCCACCGACTTACAACTGTCAGCAAAACACCTTCTGCCTAGCAACTGCAAATGACTGATATGTGTGCGTGTGTGTGTGTGTGTGTGTGCGTTGTATATGTAAAGATGAAAACATGGATAGCACAAGAAAAAAGCGCAGCACAGCGTCAAACCGTTGGCGGTTGCGTTAAGCAACAGCTGCCAGCGACACCTTGCAAGAGTTGCTGTTGTAAAGTGTTGGGCGGAAAGAGAGAAAAGAATCGCTAGAAGGCTGACGTTGCTAATGCCACAATATGTGAGTGCATGCAGCCGCTGCTGCTGTGTGTGTGCGTGTGTGTGTGCATACCATGCGACAACACATGCACACATACAGAAACACAGACCGACACTAGCACAAATGCATTGTGGTTAAGCAATTTGTGCCAAACAAAATGAAAGTGCTAAGCGCATTGGCCGTCACATATATCTGCACCCAAACACATACACACACACACACACGCAAGCCCACGCATGCATACTCCCGCACACACTAACAACGACCCAGCCACTCTAATGAACCAGCCCACAGAATTCGAAAAACGAATGGAAAATGTAGCCGCTCTTATTATGATTAAATGCAAAAAAATATGAATGTTGTATAGTTCAACGCATTCTCTTTTCACTACCTTGTCGGGTTAAATATCAGCAGGTCACGCAACTACTGCTGCTTTTATCAATTGAATTACATTCGTTATATTTTATGTTAGTTCAATAAGCATCGTTCCTTTCTTTGCACAAAGAACTTTCCAAAGGAATATATGCTGCTAGCAGCACTTTTCGTATGCAATGGAGTCCTGTTGGGTTCTATCGGTTCGTGTGCAGCAGGTGCGATATGGCAAAGCTGTCATATAACTGTCTGTGCGTATGTGTGTAGCAGTCGGTTTTGTTTTTGTTGGTTGCTGCTGTTTTGTGGCTTGCACTAAATTTCATAATTTTTGCTGCCCCTACTGTTCCTGTTGCTATTGCTCCTCTTTCTGATCCTGGTTGTCTCTCAGTCACGTGTCATTCATATCAGAACGCGCCATAAACAAGAGTGCCGGCAATGGCCGACCAGTCCATGCCGGCGCCCCGTTGACATCCGCTGTCCTGCCACACACTGTTGCTCCTTCCGCTACACCTTCTGCTGTACCTCCTGCTGCTTCTGCTGTTTGGCGTTGGCAACGCGCATCGGTTGTTTGTCCGTTCGCCTTATTTCGATTTATTTTT